GGGAGGGAGGGAGGCAGGGAGAGTAGGAGGCAGGGAGGGATGGAGGGTGGGAGCCCAAGTTTTCTCCAAAGTTCTTCAGACTAACTTTAGGTAGAGATTTTGCAATGCTCAGGATTTGCCCTCCTGTGAACTTCCTTCATGCATTCCTACTTTTCCTCCTACTTAACCAGGAATTCACTTTCCCTCTGGCTTTTGTCTCCCTTGCAGCCGCAATGAGGACCCGGAGAGATACCCCTCTGTGATCTGGGAGGCAAAGTGCCGCCACTTGGGCTGTGTCAGTGCTGAGGGGAAGGTGGACTACCACCTGAATTCCGTTCCCATCCAGCAAGAGATCCTGGTTCTGCGAAGGGAACCCCAGCACTGCCCCGTTTCTTTCAGGCTGGAGAAGATGATGGTGGCTGTGGGCTGCACCTGTGTTACACCCATTGTTCGCAAAGTGGCCTAAGAGCCTTGGCTCAGACCTGAGGCTCTCAGGAGCAGCTAAGCCTCAGCCCATATGAAACTCCCTTCTTCAAAATCCCAGCCGTATTTCTCAGCAAACTCACTTGGATTCATAAAACAGTTCATGCAACTGACTCTGCTAGTAACACTGGTTTGGAGATGGGATCCGAACTGTCCATCCCACTTCCCAAGGAGGAAGCTTAGAATGAGTACCAATTTGCTTCTTGATTGCTTTTCTAAGGGCTTCAAATTATTTACGTACCTAGTAGGTCCTGAGAAAACTTTGGAGCATAAGATTTCATTTTATTGAATAATCTACCATATTATGTTTCTTTCTAAAGAAGACAAAGTTCAAGACTCTGAAATTTTATTATTTAAAAGGTAAAAGCTTTATTTATATGAGTTATTTATGGATCTATTTATTATTCTTGTCCTTAAAGTGGAACAGTATGATTATCAGGTCTGCCTAGAGAAATCCTATGTAAAATTAAATATCAATTGAAAATTTCTGGCTTTACTATATGTATATTTAAGATTTCCTCCTTTATAAAGTATATGACTTGGCTGAATAGAGTGAAAATTCAAACCTAGTTTCATATTTATTAACGTGTTTTTAAATTATTGAGGTTTCAAAAAGGATGGCAAGTTTAACTCCCCATTCTGTTAAAACCTTGTGACAATATTATTGTGTAATAATAAATTTTGGAAGAAATTTTGTTTCCTTATTGTTCTTCATTAACAGGATATTGCACAGGGTGGGGATTGCTGGAGAGGTGGGTCTGCTATTAAGAAGACTAGCTACTTTTGTAGAGAACTCAGGTTCAGTTGCCGGCACCCACATGGGGGCTAAGAATCATCCATAACTTCAGTTCCGTGAGTCCAACACTCTCTTCTGGGCACAGTGTACAAATGGTACACTTACATACATGCAGGCAAAACTGTCATACCCATAAAATAAATAAAACTTTTAATGTCAGGGCAAGAAAAATGAAGATATAGTTCACTGATTAAGAGCACTTGATGCTGGATCATGACAACCTGGGTCCCAGGACCCATGTAACAAGTGAGGCATTCCACACATGCTTATACCCCAGCTCCAAGGGGGCCTGAGACAGGATGAACACTGGGGCTTGCTACCTTCCAGCTTAGCAAAGGAAACACGAGCCCCAGTTGTAGGGAGAGATTCTATCTCAAAGGAATAAGACAGAGAATGATAGAGAAGGGTACCTAACACCCCCTTCTGCCTATGCATGCACATACCCCAACACACACACACACACACACACACACACACACGCACATATACTCATGCACACAAACACACACACATAAATAAATACATTTTCAGAAGAGTGTAGTCAGCCCTCCAATTGTGTAGGTGCCACATCCATGGATTCAATCAGTTGAAGATAAAAAATGTAGCTAGATTTCTAATAGTTGTATCTGGACTAAACATACAGATTTTTCTTGTCATTATTCCCCCCAAAACGCAGTTCAGATAGTGCTCATGTTTTCTGAGGTGCTGTAGGCAATCTAGGAATGACCTGCAGCATATGGAAGGATGCACAGAGGTTACGTGAAAATACTGCTACTTTTTAACAAGGGGTTGAGCATCCACAGGTTTTTGTATAGGGGAAGGATTGTCCTATTACAAATCTCCCAAAGATATTTTCTGTTCCAACTGCCTCCTGCATGCCTCCTGCCATGATAGACCCTTACCCTCTGGATCCATAAGCCCAAATAAACTCTTCCTTCTATAAATTCTCTACCATGTAAATCTGGTCATAGTATTATCCTGATTACTCTTCAGTAAGTCACATTCTCATTTTGTCATTGCCTCTTTTGGCTGTGACAAATTTCCTCATGTCCTCCTCGCTCCATTGTCTGGATTAGATTAAGGCACTAATCACCCACCCGAGTCTATCAAGGTATTTTTTAGAACTAGTTTTGAAAACTGGATACCAGGCATGACCATGAAACATCATAAGGAGTCAGAAATAGAAAATACAGAGCAACCAGTTCATCTCCGCCATAGTTCTTCTAGACCTCAAGGATCTGTATATCATTTAAGGTAGGCTACAGGGCTGAAGGACAGGCTCACGATGCATAACGTCTGAGCAGAGATTTATTTCTCTCTTACACAATATTCAGGTAGCTATCCTGCTGATTAAGCATGTCTTCTCCATGTGGGCATTCAGGAATCCAATCTCCTTTTCATCTCATGGATGTGGGAATGCTAAGAAATGATGTACTTAAATGAATAGAGGCATCCCTGATAAAATAACCATCCTCAGTTCTGGGAGCCACTAACCAGGCCTACTTCACTGGCCCTACTCCATAGTCCTCAGAGTTCCCCAGGTCATGCTCCCCACCCCCTGAGAGCATTTTAGTAAAATCCCAGAACAGCTGAAACCAGATGATATCAAGACAAAGGACGCAGCTGGACAGCTGGGAATTTCCCTAACAGTGGGGATAGGGATTTGCCTTCTTCAGGGGGAACTATGTGTTCACCCACTTGAATTTTCAAAACTAAGCAATCTATTATTTAAAGATGTAAATGTAGACGGATTACAACCCACAAATAAAATCAAGGGAGGGGTAGGGAATAGGGGATAAGGGCTCCAAGGAGCAGAGAACAGCACTAAGCCTTCGAGATTCTGGCAGCATTTTATTTCTTGATCTAATATTGTAATTTCAGGAATCTGAGCTTGGTTTGAGGTTTTTTTCATTTTATTCAGTATTTGCATCTAAGATACATTTCACAATTCAAAGTTTTAAAAGAAATCACAAAAGAAAAAGATAGATTGGGCTCACAAAATTATAAATTTTCTATACTTGACTTCTTTAACTGAAAATTAAACAATTTGAAAAAAAAACATTTGTCACAAATACTGTAATTGGTTAGTACCTGGCAGGCAACCTGATTATTGGATGCATTCCCACCTCAGAGCCTGGTCCTGCTCTTCCCTATGCCTGGTGTGTTCTTCCTGTTGGACAGGATGCATCCTTACCTCAGAGCCTGGACCTGTTCTTCCCTCCACTGTACTCTTCCTGATGGAGAAGATGTATTCCCATCTCCAAGCCCTCATCCTGATCTTCCCTGTGCCCATGCCCAGTGAGCTTTTCTTGATGGGCAACTCCCTCTCATTTGTATAGGTGTCAGATCTGACTGAAGCTGGCTCTGTCCACCCTGGCATTCCCTCTCCGGTACCCATAACTTCTTTTTCTCTGTGACTGTCACCTAGCCTACTATTTAACTTATTTGTTTTGTTCCTGCATCTCTCTCACCCACTGGAGTGGGAAGTTCACTGAAGACAGGAATTTTTTCTGCTCTGTTCAATACTGCATCCTCAATCTCACACATGGTAAAAGCTCAATAAACATCTGTTGAATGCCTAGATGGATGAGGGAATGGTATAAAGAGCTTATGATAACCAGGTATTCTGATTGTCCACAGTAATCTCACACTTTGATGGCTGCCTAGGCTATAGAGTGAGAACCTATCTGAAAAAGCAAGCAAAAATATATAAGTAAAATTCATGAGTGGGGGCTGGCAAGATGGCTTCGTGCTAAGGCGCTTGCCACCAAGCCTGATGACCTCAATTTGAACCATGGGACCCAAATGATGGAAAGAGAAACAAGTCCACCAAGTTGCCCTCTGACCTCCACAAAATAAGTGCTTTTTTAAAATAATCATGAGTTAGAGACAGAATGTTTCAAACACTTGAAATAACGTTGAAAACATAGGAAGTAAATATGTAAACACATTGCAAGACTTACCCTGGGTTTTGAAGAATGAATAATTTTCACTTTTTTATAATTTGTAATTTAAGTGACCATCTGTTTATTTTACAAATGAAGAGTGGTATACATTATTTGTGTTGTTGTTGTTGTTGCTGGTTTTTTGAGACTGGGTCTTACTATACAGCCCTGGCCTGGAATTCGATATGTAGATGACTGTAGCCTTGAACTCATAGAGATGTGCCTGCCTCTGCCTCCAGAGTGCTGGGTTAAAGGCATGCACGACCATGCCTGGCTAAAAATAAAAACGTTTTAAGATTTATTTCAAACCTTAGGCTCTGGTGTGTGTGTGTGTGTGTGTGTGTGTGTGTGTGTGTGTACATATGAGTGTAGGTACCCATGAAGACCAGAAAAGGCACCCAATCCCCTGGAACTGTAGTTACAAAGGGCTGTGAGCTACCTGACATGGATGCTGGGAATTGAACTCGGATCCTCTGGAACAGCAGTTACATGCTGTTAACCACTGAACCATCGCTCTAGTCTCTAAATTTAAGTTTTAAAAAATAAAACCAGAAGCTCAGATTAAAGCATAAACAATCAGAATCAGGGGGCTGGAGAGATGCCTCAGTGGTTAAGAACACTAGTTGTTCTTGCAGAAGACCTGGGTTTGAATCCCAGAACCCACACGGCAGCTAACAACTGTCTGTAACTCCAGTCCCAGGGGATCGGACAGCCTCTTCTGACCTCCGTGGGCATTGCACGACACGGGTGCACTTACCTACATGCATGCAATACACACATACACATAAAATAAAAATAATAAATGAAATTTTTAAAAAAACAATCAGAATCAGGTCACCCACAAGTAGGGTCTATTTTAGCCACAGGTGGCAGCACAGCACATTTAGTAAAGAGAAAAAATACTCGAGAGGGAAAATAAAACTACAAGACCTGGCAAATACTTGCATTTAAAAGGGAAATTTCCTCTTCAAAATATCAGGAAAATGAGTTTAGTCATACAGTGCAACACTAAAGTAAATAAATGCATGCTTTCATCATGGGTATGCTGCCATTATCATCTCCCTAGGATTAAAGACCTGGAGCCAGGTGTGTTGGGTCCTACAACACTAGCAAGCAATCATTCACACTGAAGAATTCCACAAGTCTATCTGGGGCATGAATTACACAAATGCACTTATGATCAAGTGAAGGCACTACTGCCCCACCTCCATCACTTCCTTGGTCTTGGTTGTCTGACATGAC